GAGTGGTGGTGGGAATTTTATGGGGACCACAACAGTGATGTAAAAGATAGGAAAAAAAATAAATATAAATTAATAATTTTAAAACGTAAAAAAATGGGCAGATGCCTTGGTAGACATTTTTCTTCTATTTCTTCATGTGAAAGATTTTTAATGGAGGTGGAGTTCAGAGAGAGGGAGGGGGTTTCAAGGAACAGTTTCCCAGCAACACTCCACATGTCGCAGTGGATGCCAGGCTCAGCCTGACGCGGCGCTGAGGCCAGAAAGCGGCCCCAGGTCTGAGCCCTCCCGGCGGGCACCACCGTCAAGACCCCAGAGGCAGCCCAGAGACGGCCGAGAGACTCAGAATCAAAACAGGCCCCATCACCCCCCGGGGGGCAGGGCCAGGGCCGCGGGTGCCCCGCTGCGGCGCCACCCCGTCCTACCCGCTGGGTCCCTCACCGGGCCTTGGCAGCGGGCGGCGTCCTCGCGCTCTCCGCTGGGCGTCACTGCCCCCGCGTCCACCCCGCCGCCCGCCTCCGACCTCGGCACCCCGCCGCGCCACGCCCGTCGCACCATGCCACGTCATGCCCCGCGCCACGCCACGCCGCACCGCGCCACCCACGTCACGCCGTTTGTCAGAGTGCGCATGCGCCGTGGGAGGGCTGCCCGGCCTGAAGCTTTTGACTTTTACTGAACCCCCACCACCCGGGACCAGGAGAGCCCCCCACGCGGCTCCAGCCCCGCGCTCTCCTCCCAGTGTCTCTCCACGGCCCCGCCTGACGCTCAATGACATTTCCTCAGGAGACCCTCACGGCCCCGCCTGCGAACAGCTGCCCGGGATCCTGATCATAAGGGAGATGCGGAGCAGCGCTGGGAGGCGCCACCGCAGCCTGGGGGCGCGGAGGCAACAGATGGTGGTGGGCCCGTGAGGAAGGAGCTTTCCCCGCTGTGGCGGGATGCAAGAGCTGCCGCCGCCGCTGGGAGATGCGTGGGGAGTTCTTAAGGAGATAAAATTGGCCTCCCTGGTGGTGCAGGGGATAAGAAACAACCTCTGAAGCTCTCCTCAGCCATGGCAGAACGAGTTCCATCCCCTGCCGCCCAGGAGCTACCCCACATGGCGCGGCAGACCTCGCCTGGCTCCCCGCTGCTCCCCTCAGCAGTGCGTTTCTGTCAGTCGGCCTGTGCTGCTCCCCCCCCCCCCGTCTATGGTGAATCCTCTCACCCCCCGCACCTCTGGCCTGTACCCCAGTTCTTGTGTGCATAAATAAATAAATCTTTAAACACACGCTCGCGCGCACATACACACACGCACGCAAAGTACAGAGGAAAAAAAAATCTTGTCCATAGTGAAAAAAAATGTGCTGGTTCCCTGAGGACAGTGGAAGAAGAAGGGGTGGAGGGGTGGGCAGGCATTGACTCAGGTGGTTGGTGGAGGGAGAGAGGGATGTGTGCGGACGGGGAAGAGTAGATGCACCCCCAAAGTCATCATAATGAGATGTAGCATGTCGGTCCACAGAGGACAGTGTGGTCAGATAAACTACAGTGTGTTGACAGCGTGACTGGATGAAGAGAAACACAAGCTCCCCTTCATACGCTGCTATAAACTATCTCATGAGGTAAAAAAATAGCAAAACGCATAGTAGGACAGCACGTGTGTGAAAAACAGGGGAGGGAGAGGGTCCTCAAGAATGTCCTCCTGGATCGCAGGTGCCTCAGCCCCGTGATCCTTGATTTGTCTGTGAGAATAAGAAGCCACCGTGGGTTTGCCTCTGAAAAGGGCCGCTGGGTGACGGGGGAAAGCAGACAGACCTTTCATGGAGTAACCGAACTTGTACAGAGTCCAGCACATAGACCTGTACAAAATCTAAGCACAAATGAAAGCTTAAAATACGGGGCTAATTATTTAAAGATGAGCATGGAATCTTCCATTATTTTTTCAATAACAAATGGAGAAGAATTTTCTGGACTAGGGTTGATTTTGTTTGATGATTTTAATTCTCAGAGTTGATTTTGTTTGATGATTTTAATTATGTAGTTAATTTGTCTTTCAAAGGTCATAATGATTCATGGGTCCGCTTCTGGGTCCTCTGGGCCCTCCTCCCGCAGCATCTCAGGTCCTTCTGTGGCTGTGAAGAGCCTCCAAGAGCAGGACCCCCAGGACCAGCAGTAAGAAGGCGGCCACACACAGGCGGATGAGGTTCCCCAGCGTGTAGTCCTGGGGGCGCCGGGCTAGGCATGTGGGGAGAAGAAACGTCACAGTTCCACAATGACCAGGGGACCTCCTGTCCGGACACGGGATGAATGTGGGGAGGGTCCTTCTCCATCCGACCTGCCCCTCCCTGCAGGGCTGCAGACTCCTCTGCCCTGGCTATCATCCACTGGGGCCCTGTGCTCTCTAATGCTGCCCCAGGGGACACCGCTCTGGCTCCAGGCTCCTGGACTGGTGGGAAGGCCTGTCCCCCGGTCCCCTGTGCCCGCCTTCTCCTTTAGCGAGACCTGAAGTACCTCCTCTCCGTCTCATCACTCGCAGCCCCTCAGAGTCGCCAGGGGATGGAGCGCCCACACCACGGGGAGCACTCTGCCCTCCCTGACCCCATGTCCAGCTAAGACCCCTTCGCATCTGCAGACCCAACAGCACACGGACATTTCATGTGTATCTGTGTCCCACGTAGAAGACCTAACTAAACCTCTTGGCCAACCGTCAAGAGAGACCATAGGAACACTCTGCAGACGAGGAGCTGGGCTCAGAGGGACGGGGCATGCCCAGGCCTGGCCGGGAGGCGCAGGGAGAACATGCACCCTGCTGTCTGACCCCCGCCCCAGCTTGTTTTTGGTGACTTGGACCTTTTTCCTGTGATAGGACAGGCTGCGCACACAGTCTGCAGGGAAGACCACGCATCACATGTCCCCGCTCTGTTCATCCCGACAGCCCCCCGTGAGTTAGACCTGAGGGCTGGGCAGGTTCTCCTCCGTGACAAGGGGAGACGTGGAGGCCAGAGTCCGGGGAGGCTTCCAGCATCTCCATCAGGGAGACTGGAAATAACTGGTGGACCCCAAGCCCCACCTCAGAGAGCAAGGCCGGGCAGCATCCTCCCTGCTAAGGCCCCTGACCTCCCCCAGGGAAGACCTCTATCCCCCACTGAGCAAGACCCCAGTGACTCACAAGCTTGGGTCCAGGAGTCGGGGGGCTGGCTCCCCAGAAGATCCTGGGAAAAGACAAGAGGGTGGAGGGGCTGGAGCTTCCCCGAGACCCAGAATCTGTTCAGACTCCTCTTGTGTCTACCCTTGATCCCCAAGGTCCCCTCTGACGCCGAGGGAACTCCTGGTGATGGATGGTCAAGGGGAGAAGTGGGAACACACTTGTGTCCCCCAACCCTCTGAGGGTGGGCCAGTCAGGGTGACCCTCCTTGGAACCCTCTCACTCATAGTCAGGAAGGGGGTCACCTGGACAGTACCATGAGCAGAGGGGACATAGCTGGGGACCTTCACCTGAGACCAGGAGCTCCAGGGGCTCACTGGGGAGTGACCACACCTGCGGGGTGCTCCTGTAGTAGCCATAGCACCTGAACAGCCACCTGTGACTGGGGTCACGGGGCTCACAGGGAACAAGGCCCGGAAATGTCCACTGGGGTGTCGCTGTGAGTCCAGGGTTCTGGGAGAAATTGTGTTCTCCTTCCTCAGTCAGACGGAACCTGTCAAATCCATGGCCTGAGCTACACTGGAGGGTCACGTTGCCTCCTGAGGCCACCACAGGGCTCGGCAGGGCTGAGAGGCTGGGTTTCCTGTAGGTATCTAGGAAAGGAGGAGGCAGTGTGTGAAATGGGGACACTCCCACCACATCCCTCAGGGCTGCACCATGAGAGGGGAGACACCCTGAAAGCAGACCCCCCTTCCTGAGGGCAGAGCTTGAGGCTGGACCCATGAGTGTGCTCTCACCCGTCACCACCAGCTCCAGGGGGTCACTGTGCTCCGACCAGCCAGCAGAGGTAAGATAGACACAGTGATATCTCCCTGCACAGTCCTCTGTCAGGTGTGGGATGGGCAACTGGGACCTGTCCCCGGGCTCCAGTGTCATCCGTCTGTCCCAAGACGCTGAGCTTCCCTCTCAATCAAGATGGAACAACTGGGCCCCCCGGGCTCCCTGACACCAGATGGTCACTGGATCCCCCCAGGGGATCACAGAGCCTGGCTCAGCCCAGAGGGTGGGTTTGGGCAGGGCCCCTGGAAGGAATCAGAGGCTGGTCACAGGCGTCCCCACCCCAGTTCCCAGCCCCCAGCCCAGACCCTCCCAGATGTCCCCTCCATCACCCCAGACCTGCTGTCTCCACCCCGAGCTGCCCAGGGGTGGCCCCTCCCCAGTGAGAAGGCGGGACCCGGGACACCTGGGCACAGACTCACCTGCCTGCTCTGGGGTCCCGGGGCCCACACTCAGCCCTGGAAGAGAGGCCAGTGAGAGGCCTGCCCCGCGTCCTGACAGAGCCTCCTCCCGGAGCCTCCCGAGTCCTGGGTCCCCTGACAGACCAGGCCTGGCCGTGGGGTCCCTCCAGACCAGGGCGCCCCTCCCTCCTCACACTCACCCAGGCAGAGCAGGGCCGTGAGGCTGGGGGTCATGGCGTCCTCTCCGTGACCTGGCTGTGGGGCTGGAGGGCCCAGGGTGCCGGCAGGATGGACACATGGGTGGGGACACTGGGGTTGGTCCTCCTGTTGTGGGTTTGTCACATCGCGTCCCCACAGGAAGGGGAACTGCCCCACGAGGCTGACTCTCGTTTCCCCAGGGCAGGGCTGGGCTGAGAGTGGATGTGGGGATGTTCTGACCACACCTGAGGCTTCTCTGCCCCTGAGTTGCTGTCCCCACCTGACTCCTGTTCTTACCGTCTGCATGCACCTGCCCCAGGGCCACGTCTCAGACAGACTCACACTCGTGCCAGCAGACCACCCAGCGCCCCCCAGGCCCCTGGTTAATCACACCTGAAGTCCCTCCTGCCCTGCGGGGGGAGACACAGGCCCAGGTTCCAAGGACCGGACCCGCCATCCCCACAGGCCCCTGCCCTGCTGCTGACGCCTCAGACACTCCCTGCCCCGTCTCCAGTAAACCACTCTGTTCTCGAGGGGTGCTCTGCGGGCCCCACTCCAGGTTGTGGCTAGGGCGCCTCCCCAGGAGGGAGCTCCTGTCCCGTGGTCACGCCTGCCCACGGCCGAGCCTCCGTCTCCCAGCCCAGGAGCGGCCGGAGCTGACTCACGAGGAGATGCGTCCTCTGCAGAAACGGCGTCGTGTGGCCGAGCAGCGCCAGTGTCCCCGCGAGGCTTGTCTGTGCCCCCCCCGCCCAAGGGCTCGGGAAGGGCCTCATCCACACTCACGCCCCGAACAGCCCCGGAGCTTGGGTCCTGCCGCTCTGCCCGTGCAGTGACCGCTCCGGGTCGGGCCCCTCAGCCCCGCAGCCGTCCAGGCTCAGGGAGGGGGCCGGGGCGGCCAAGGCTGCTGCTGTCCCAAGATTCCAGGCTGCTCAGGGGAGTTGGAGAGTCTCCTTAGGAGGAGGCTCTGGTCACAGGGAGTTTCCCCAGGCGTGGGGCGTCTTCACCACTCAGGCTGCTGCAGCCCAGGGGTTCTGAGGCAGCAAGAACCTGAAGTTGGGGAGATTCTCTTTCCCAAGTCCCCTGATCAGCTGCTACTTCTGTTTTGGGGAGCCAGGATCTACTGTGCTGTGGGGTGAGGGGTCAGCGGGCGAGAGGGATCCACACCTCAGCCTGGATCACAGTGCCCAGTGCCCATGCAGGTGAGGGTGTGGGGACGCTGCTGATACTGACAGCCCGAGGCAGCCAGAGCCCCCAGCCTCGTGGAGCCCTGGGGAGAAACCCTTCACCCGCACAGGCTCCTGCAGGAGGGGCCTGGGTGCCTCTCACAGGGACTCCTCAGCCCACAGGAACCCACATCGAAACCACCCCCACAGCGGAGCACACTCAGCTCCAGCTCTGGCCACCTCTGTGCTGGCCCAGCAGGGAGTGGCAGGGGGTGTGGGGGCTCCTCCAGGGACTTAACCCTGGGATCCAGGAATCCTGTGATCCTGTGCTAGGAGAGGCCCTGTGGGGCCTGCACCTCCTCCTGCCATCCGGTCTCCTTCTCACACGTTGGAAGCCACAGCCGTTTTTGAGGAGTCTGTGCCTCTGAGGTCCCCGACTAGAGAAGCAACTGCACGTGGTCCAGGGACCCCAGCGGGTCTCCACGGCACCCCCTGAAGCTCCCACTCTGGCTGCAGACGCCAGTAGTGTGGGGTCTCCAGAGAAAAGGGACAGGGAACTCAGGCCCAGGCTCAGGCCCCGAGGGCAGGGCAGAAATGCCCACAGGAGGCCGCGGGGCTCACTCGGAAATGCCCACAGGAGGCTCGCCAGGGAAGAAGGCTGAGGTCTTGCATGACGGCCGCAGCCCCTGCCGGCTGGAGGGCCTGTGCTCAGTCTCAGCCCCCATCCTCAGCCTCCGGTGCACTGTTCACACGGCACTGGGGGAGGCGCGGAACACAGACGTCCCTCCTCGCAGGGACACGGCCCCCCAGAGAGTGCCCCTCTGCCCGAGGCTGGCTGGGAATCCCCACTCTGTGGCTCCCTTTTCAGAGCAGGTGTCAGGTGTGGAGCTGCCACTCCTGGTGATCCCCACGCCGGCTGGTGGAGATCTCCACGGTGGCCCGTGCCCACCCCAGCCTGTCCTGGACCCGCACCTACCGCCAGACCCCTTCTCCGGGGCCCTGGCCGTCTCCCCGCACCCATCCACCCCTCAGGCCTGGGAACCCTCCTCTGGTCCTGTTTCGCGCCAGCTGCGGGCACTGTCTAGATCTTGCCCCAGGGAGGGCAGGGAGGGTGTCTCAGGTGTGTTAGGGTTTTAGGGAGAGACAGAACAAGTCAGGAAAGAGGGTGTCCCATCCACCATGAGCTCGTCTCTCATGGTCGAGTTGGCAGCACGACGCGCTCTCGCTGCAGCTCCCGGCAGACAAGCAGCGGGTGCTGGGGCGGCAAGTCCACTCCCGACGGCAGCGGTGAGAATTCACCCTCCGATCCGCGCGCCAGGGAAGAGTCTGCGCACACGGACAGGACAGCGCGGCCCAGAAGGCCGGTGGGCGGTCCTAGGGGAGACAGGTGCTGACTGGGTGTCACCCTGAAAGTAGCTGTGATAAGGGATGAGTGAACAGCACCCACGGCCAAGGCACAGTAGGAAGAGCTGTGAAGGCTGGTGGTAAGAGCCCAACATGGTAACAGCAAAATAGGACTCCGTTTCCTCCCCCCGAAACAGGGCAGGGCAGGGCCTGAGTTTCAGAATCGCGAGGATTTTCCTGCCCGACCCGGGCCGCGTGGAGGCGGAGTGGACGGAGCTGGGCGGCCACCGCGGGAAGAGGACACGGTGGGCGGCGCCGCCCCCGCTCTGAGGCCGCACCCCGAGAGCTGGCAGCAGGCAGGACAGCTCCTTCCAAGGGCTGCTCTCCAGGGTCCCACATAGCACCTGTGACTTCTGCTTTTTCAGAAAGCGCGGGCTGTTAACCCCAGTTCTGGATCCCGGTGCCCCCCAACCCCCTTAGCCGGGTGAGCTCTTGTAGCTCTGGTCAGCATCCCGCGGGTTAGTGGGGGACAGGATGAGCTGGGACAGGAGGAGTTTCACACTCTCGAACCTCCTAATTTCAACTGCTACTCCGAGGCTGGGAACGCGCTGAAGAGCAACTGTGTTGTCTGAGCGGGGCGGACGGGCTGCTTGGGGGGTTGAGTTGCAGGGAAGGGGGCTGGATTCCTGTCTGGACCTATGTCCGGCACGGAAGGCCTGTCCACACAGGAAGTCTGTGCCTCCCTCCTGGGTCTCCATGTGTGTCCTTGACATGTGAAATCTCTCACAGCTCCAGCAGGTCTGTCCTCCAGTGGCCCTGCGTTCTTGACAACTTTTAGGGTTCTGGTTCTTCTAGGGGGTGAACGGCATCCACTGGAGGCTGAACTGTCCGGTGGCCTCGGCTGACATTTCGGCTCACCTGCTCACATGGAGCCGGAAGCCTGAGGCCCTGGTCTGCTCTGGAGCTGCTGAGGCCCAGGGACACAACCCCGGGGGCAGCAGCCAGCACAGAGCAGGGGCCAGAGAGGGGACCTGGACTTGGAAGGGATGGCCCAGGGCTGTGGAGGGTCACAGCCCAAGGAAGAGGTGCCTAGGAGAGCTCAGGCAGAGCCGCGTCTTTGGGAAGGACTTGGGGTCCTGGGCTCAGCCAGGAGCGGTCTGATGGGGCTCAAGGATCTGCAGTCAGTGGTGTGACCTCCTGGGATGGGTGGGGCCCAACTCCAGGGCATAGACCTGAGGCTTCTCTGACCTCATGCTCAAGGCCCTGTGGTGACTTTGTTCAGGGAGAAGACAATCAGCCTCAGGCACCTGCACCCCTGCAGACACGAGGCCAATGTGCTTTACGATTCTGGCCTGAACCCCACCTCTGCCTGGTGCAGGCCTAGTGTCCCAGCCCCACCTGGCACCTCTGAGACCTAAGCGCCCAGACCCAGCCAGTGCCCAGGGTCAGCGCTGGGAGTGCCTGCAGGTCTGGACCCATGGCTGCCGGGCAGGGCGGCCTCACGTGCTGCGGGCCTGGGTCTGCGGCAGAGCAGCCTGCTCAGCAAGCACAGCCCTTCCCGAGAGGCACACCAGCCTGGAGTCCCAGACCCAGGAGGGAAGTGGCAGCCACGCTCTGGTGGACTCTCGCCTTCTCCAGACACCATGTCCCCAGGGCAGAAGGCATGCAATGGGGAGGGGGTGTCGGACACAGCGAGCATGGGGAGAGGGCGGGGCTCAGGGAACAGGGTAGAAGCCACCAGTGGTTCCTGAGGAGGTGTGAGGTGGGAGGGAAGCCTTTGTGGGTTTTTAAGTGAAAGGGCAGTTCAAAGGGAGCTGCAAAATGTTGCTTGTCAGGAAACAAAGCAGTGATGAATGTGCACAGCTGGGGAGGATCAGCAATTCTCTGGCGTTTCTTTAAATTTTGTGCACGATATCGTTGCCTTTGGTCCCTCCGTTGCCCAGTTGCTGACCACCCTGCACTCAGCTCCCATTCCAAGCTGGCTCCTCAGCTCCGGGCGCCTTCTCTCCGATCTCAGAGAGGGCTAATAACAGCCCAGTCTCTCTTCAGCAAGCCGCTTTGGAACTCCATAGAGGATTCCTGACTAGACCAGGATCCTGCTTTTGAGTCCCTCAAATTTTGAGTAATTTGACTTTAAAGCAGCATCAGCTGTTCACTTTATCTGCAGCTCCAGGTTTTGGTAAGAGATCAGATCAAGTCAAAGTGCACAACCACCTGGAAGCGTGTTTTTTGTGCCACTGGGCACTGCTGTGTAGTCTTTCTGCTGTGCCATGTGGGTCAGCTCCCCGGCTGGGATGGAACTCAGGCCTCAGTGGCTGGCGACACCTTGATAACGCTAACACAACTCCTGCCACCAGATAGGCCCAAACAGAATCAAGATTAAGGTGTGCCACGGAGAGTGTGTGCAAGGACTAGATGGGAGTGTTTGGACGGAACCAAATAGCATTTGCACGATAGTAACAGCTGCTTTGAGGCTTCATGTTTAAATAGTCTTTTAAAATGCAACAGAGGGGCCTCCCTGGTGGCGGGAGGGGTTACACATCAGCACTATGGAGCTGTCCGCAGCCACTGCAGCACGAGTTCGATCCCCTGCTAGGGAGCTACCCACATGGTGCAGCAGACCTCTCCTGTCTCCCCACTGCTTCCCTCAGCAGTGGATTTCGGTAGATTGACCTGTTCTGCTCCCCACTCTGTCTCCTCTCACCCCCATACCTCTGGCTTACACCCCAGCTCTTGCATACATAAATAAGCCTTTTTTAGAAACAATAAAACGCAACCGAACGCTAATAGCAGGCCTTCTGGAACAGGTTTCTAGCTTTTCTTTGCAGTGAGCATGAGACACTTGCGCCCCCTAGTGGCTCCCGGGTAAGGTTCCGTTTTAAGCCGAGCCGTCCAGGGTCTGACCCCGTGAACACCCACCTCCCATCACAGCGACTCGGGGCTCTCCTAGCCAGGGCGCCGCGACCCGACATCCTGGACGGCACAGTCGGTGGCGCCCGGAGTCGTGGTCTGCAGGTCCCGGTGTGTCTTTGCTGGGAGAGCCTGGGGCACCTTTGTGAGCAGCCAGGGAGCGTCAGCGAATACCTGAATAAGACGGTGGGCGGTTCTGGGGGAACCGCGAAGAGCGAGGACAGATCCAGTAACGGAGGGACGCGGAAAGGAAGAGGGGTCGGTCGCTTTGCACCCCACGGGCCCCGCGGGTTCAGTGCAGCGGGTCAGGGAGAGGGCGTGAGGCGCCAGGGGTGAGTCACGGTGTCTGCGTGGGCTGGACACTGCGGCCTGGTGCGGGGGAGGAAAAGTAGAACCTGGGGAACTGCTCTCTGTCCACCACAAGGGAGGTTCTGGGGTCACAGCCACCAGGGCAGCTGCACCCTGGTCTGGGCGAAGCCCCCGTATCAGGGTGTGATTCAGGGGCTATCTGTGAAGCCAATTACCCCCCTAGTAGCCCCAAGGACCCACTAAGTCCCCACTCCTTGCCCAGCAGGCAAGTTCAGGAGGCTTGAATAGATGAGGCAAGCTATACGGTTGCCACGGAAATCGGGCCATAAGACCCAAGGCCTCACCAGAAACAGCAGACCAGCTCCAGGAATGCAGAAGCAGGACCAGGGCACATTCCCTACTGAAGACCGGTGCCCCAGACCAGACATCCCAGCAGATAACTAGTGCAAAGCCATGCCCAAGTTAGAAAGTTCCATGAAAACAGAGTACACAAGAGACCCTCAAATCTTTCTTCACAGGCGAAAGTGTATCTCCCATCTCACCCCGCTCCCTTTCAGGGCACTTCAATAAGTCAACCTGCTTCGTCTTCCACTCTGTCTCTGATGAATTCTTTCACCCCAGTATTAATTAGACTGCCATAGTTTCCATGACTCCTTCTTTGCATCCAATTAATTGGCTAGAGTGGCTCAAGAGAACTCAGGAAAGCCACTTACATGCTAGATCCCTGGTTTACTTGCTACAAGAGAACATACTCAGGAAGAGCCAGATGAAGAGATGCACAGGGCAAGGGACGGGGGGATGTTGCAGAGCTCTGTGCCCTCTCTGTACCACCCTCTGTGCCCCTGTACCACGGTCCTCAGCTCTCCAAAGGTCTCCAGCCTGGGATTTCTCTGAATCGCCTTCTCTTGGATTTTTATGGGGGCATCATAACTCAGGCATGAGAATGATTAAATAGTTGTCCAGTGGCCATTGATTCAACCTCCGGCCCTTCTTCCCTCCTAGGAGATCAGGGTGTGGAGGATGAGAAATACTAACCCTCTGATCACGAGGTTGGTTCTCCGGCAATCTGCCTCCACCCTTAAGTGGGACTTAAAACCACCTCATTTGCAGTAACAAAAGACTCCTTGCTCACTCAGGAAAGTCAACACTTAGGAAATTCAAGCATTTTGGGAGCTGTGGGCCAGGCAGTGTGGAGGAAGCTCAAACATACAAGAGAAATTTATATTTGGAAGGAAGGGGGGACAGCGTGGGAACAAAGGTTGAGGGGGCGCCACGGTCTAGGGTAGAGGAATCTGGGTGCTTGGATGGTGGGGGTGGGATGGAAACATACATCTGATGCGGTATGAACCTAACCCCCTAAATCATGTACAGTGTTGTAAACCGATGTCACCTCAATAAGGGGGGGGTAGGGAGAATGCATAGTAGGAAATCTGCACACCCATTGTTTATGGCCTGTCTGCTCTGAGCTAATTTTCCGGCCCGAGGACATGTCTGGAGGGGTGTGGGGAGCAGTGCTATCTGCAGGCCACCCTCAGCACCGGGGGCCGAGCCTGAGGCCAGGTGTCCAGGAGGGCGATAAGGAACTCTGGGTGGACATCACCAGCTCCTGGCAGCAGAGAAGCCTGCCCACTGCTGGACTGCCTTTGGTCAGCGCACTGTAAAGAGCCAGCTGTAGATGAAATGCGAAGGCGGCTTCTTTAGGGTGTTACCCCCATCTTCCCGGTCACCGGCTGCCAGATTGAAGAGCATCTTAAAGATTCAATTCCTGTTTCCACTTTATTGGCATTTGGCAGTGACAGGTGGCCTGAACT